GTTTAGGGATTCGGGTCTTGCGGCGAAGGGTCATGCCGCTCACTTCAGTCCTACCCTCAACTACTCCATCCTCGGCGGCGAAGGGTCATGCCGCATACATCTAGTTACAACTACCCTAGCTTGATCTTCTTGGCGGCGAAGGGTCATGCCGCATATCTAGTTACAACTAGATACATCATCTGCTAGTGAATTCCTAATTTCCTAGTCTTAGTCTACGTCCTACACAATCTTATTGATCCCTGCGGCCCCCTTGCCCGCCTCCATCACGTCATCGGCAGCGCGGTCTCCGAAAATCTGTAAGAGGCTTCGTCGGGAGTTGATGAGGGCTGGGCTGTGGAATGAGATCATGTTCTGTTATGTTTGGTATCTTGAGCCACCAGCAAAAAGGTTAAAGGTTGCCCACTCGACTACTAAGAAGAAAACACCAAGAAAGCAAAACTATCTCGCGACGCTACGCCCCAAACCCGACAACTTAACCCTAAGCCGTAAGCCCGAAAACATAACCCTAAACCATAAACCATGAGGCGAGTCTAGATGAATCACTAGTACACTTCACTGACCCTGCAACCTGGAACCCAAAACCCAATGTTACAGCCTCAGAGAGTGAGAGAGGGAGTAAAGGTTTAGGGTCTGGGGTGTACGGTTGAGGATTTAGGGAGTGAGCGAGAGAGAGAGGGAGCGACACTCAGACAGACAGACAGACAGCCAGACAGCCAGCCGGCCAGCCAGCCAGCCAGGCAGACAAACGGACGGACGAACAGACAGACAGATAGACAGATAGACAGATAGACAGACAGACAGACACAGAAAGCGCGCGAGAGAGAGAGAGCGTGCGAGAGAGAGCGTGCGAGAGAGAGCGATCGAGCGAGACCGTTGCTTGCTGAAGAGCGGTAGCTCCTAAACCCTAACCCTAAACCACAAAATTGAACCCGAAACCTAACCCTAAACCCTAAACCCTTTACATGAAGGATGACTCTTTACCTCAGGAACCGCTAAGTCTCAGCCGCAGAAAAGCTCTAAAGCCTTAAGCCCTACACCCGAAAAGACCTACCTTTCTCGGGTTCCTTGTTATGGCATGCATGTGTGTATATATATATATATATACATATATGTGGTTCCTCAAACCAACCAGACTTCGAACGATAAAGCAGCCCCATATGTGGTGGATCGTGCCTTACTTACGGGTTCTTGCATACCGGCTCGACCCTTGGAAACACTCAAACTGCTATCTCTACTCCTTCAACACGGAGTAAGGTTTTTATATAAAGAAAGAAAGAGATATATAATTATAAATATAAAGATAAACATAAATATAAATATGAATATAAACAAATAACTAAATAAATATACATATATATATATATAAGCTTTAATATAGCGGCCTAATGATGGGAAGAGGCTTTTGGGGGGACGTCCTGTCTCCCAACCGCAACACAAAAACCAACGAGAGGCAGCCCCCGGACCCCCAAAACCGAACCTAGTGACCCCGGAGCTCTGAAACTAAATCCGTGTTGAACTGTCCATCTTCACACTAGAACTGGGTTTCGGGGTTAAGGGTTTGGGGTTTAAGGGTTCAGGGTTTAAGGGTTTAGGGTTCAGGGGTTAGGGGTTTAGGGGTTTAGGGTTTAGGGTTTAGGGTTTAGAGTTTAGGGTTTAGGGTTGGGTTTCGGGGTATATCACACTGTAACTTTATGAAGGAAACCCCGAAAATAGTATTGGCAGTTATTTCGGCTTCTATATTACTACTTGTAATTAGGGTTTAGGGCCTTAGGGTTTCGGGTTCAGGGCCTTAGGGTTTAAGGTATGGGGCCTTGGGGTTTAGAGCCCAAGACTGAACCTCAAACTCTAAATCCTCCACCCTTCATCGCTTAGGGTTTAGGGTTTAGGGTTTGGGGTTTAGGGTTTGGGGTTTAGGGTTTAGGAACCACCGCAGACCCTGAAACCACTATAGAACCCTGTAGTACATAAACCCTGATAGAACCCTCATAGAAACCCTTGAAGATAGGAACCCTTGAAGGAGCCCCTGAAGGTAGAACCCTTAAAGGAACGGCAAAAGGAACCCTCATAGGAACCCGTGAAGGTAGGAACCCTTAAAGGAACCCTCATAGGAACCCCTGAAGGTAGGACCCTTAAAGGAACGGCAAAGGGAACCCTCATAGGAACCCTTGAAGATAGGAACCCTTAAAGGAACCCACCTAACCCCAGACCCGGAACCTGGCTTCTACAGGCCTTCTGAGGCGGTGACGGCGAGCTTGGGGTTTTAGGGTTTAGGGTTTTGTGGTGGCTTCTACCGGTCTTCTGAGGTGGTGACGGTGAGCTTGCCCTTGATAAACTGCACTATGGAGACCGAGAACATGGTATGACCCATGTTGCCTCGGCATAGAAGCGAAGGAGCAGGAATAAGAACGGGGTTTCGCCGGGTTTGTTCATACTGTAACAGGGAGCATAGGAATGATATCACTGCTATTGCAGAAGTAAACCCTAAAGCCCCGAACCCAAACCCTAAACCCCTAAACCCTAAACCCTAAACCCTAAACCCTAAACCCTAAAACCCTAAACCCTAAACCCTGAAACCCTCAACTCCTAAACCCTGAACATCAATTCCTAAAAACCCTAAAAAACCCTAAAACCCTAAACTCTAAACCCTAAACCCTGAAACCCTAAACCCTAAACCCTAAAACCCAAAAACCCTAAACCCCCTTAAACCTAAGCATTCAGGCTTCGAGCCTAAAGTCTATACTAGAAGGACATAAGCATAAGGGTCCAAAGGACCCGATAATGATTTAGGGTTTAGGGTTTAGGGTTTAGGGTTTAGGGTTTGGAGTAGTAGATATGTAGGTTACTAGTTTGGAAAGTATGTGATAATTAGGTACTTGGACCCTTAGGGATAAGCATAGGCATTTCAGGGTTGAGGGTTTGTGGCTTTAGGGTTATAGCTTTAGGGCTTTAGGGTTTTAGGGTTTAGCGTTTAAGGTTTTAGGGTTTAGGGTTTAAAACAGGGCTCCCTAATTTACGGGGCTTCATTATAAGGGGGTTTATATGGGATATCCCAATCGGAAATTTTCGCTTCTGTGCTTTTCTGGGGCCCTGTATACTGGGGTTTGGGACCATCGGGTTCGAAGGATTCAGGAGGTCACGTTGGTTCCTTCTGGGCAAATCGGAGCTTTTGTAGTCACAACTTAGGGTTTAGGGTTTAGGGTTTAGAGTTCATGGTTTAGAGTTGATGTTTTTAAGGTTAAGGTTCAAAAGGAGCGTGGATTGTGTATGACCCTACAAACCGAATTTCCAAGATCGCAAGCCCTGCTTGACGTCAACGGAACTGCTTCGGAAAGCTCCAAGGGAGACGCTTGATGTACGGTTTAGGGTCTAGGGGGTTTAGGGCTTCGGGTTTAGGGCTGAGGGCTCAGGGACCAGGAGTTTAAGAGTTTAAGGTTTAGGGGTTTAGGGTTGTTTTAAGGCCTTTTAGGGTTTATAAGGTTTAAGGGTTAACGGTTTAAGGGTTTAGGGGTTAAGGGTTTAAGGGTTTAAAGGTTTGGGGTTTAGGGGTTTAGGGGTTTGGGGGCTTATCGGTATGATAGCCAGGATCCCACTAGTCCTGCAAGGGCTTCAGGAAGGAGGGCTGGTTGAGTACGGCTCTGGGTTTAGGGTTTAGGGTTGAGGGTTTAGGGTTTAAGGCGTTCAACCTTTGGGTTAAGCCTGTTGGACGCGTCCACGTGCAGCATGTGTGTCTAATCGGGAACTCCAGGAACACAAGCAACCCAAACCACGACGTCAGCATCTTCATTGGCATCATGCCAAAGTTCTGCAAGGACTGGTTGTTCTGCAGGCCCTGCCACTCTGCAGCCATCGTCGATGGAAAGCAGCCTGCAAACAGCTGCACTGAATTTTGCTGCAAAGCTGCAAGGTTCGCAACTCCATTCCTGCATGCAGCATCTGTAGGGTCCTGCAGCAGGTCCCGAATGATCTGCAATTTTGCTTCAAAGACCTGCATTCGCCAGTAGAGCTGCCGGTCTGCACCAACCATGACTGCAGCTCTAACTGCAGACTCCATCGCACTCTGCAGCCTCCTCTGCAGCCACAAGCATGACTGTGCACGGTCATACTGCACGACAGCCTGCACTATGTGCCTGGCTACATCGCTGCGGCATCCTGCACTCTTGTCTTGACGCCTTTCTGCAGCCGAAACTGCATCGGAGTAGTGGTAGACTGCATGCTCCACTTTCTCCACAGCTTCCACGACCCTGTCTGCAGCCTTCTTCACTGCAGCCACCATGGCTGCAGAGGCTGCACCAACTACAATCACAGCTGCAGCAAACATCCTGTCTGCACGATCGCTGCAATCTTCAAGGGGATGCTACTCTGCAAAAGGCTGCAAGCTCCAGGCAAACACATCTCTGCACACACCTCTGCAAACACTGCAAACTAATTGCTCTGCACACACCTCTGCAAGAACTGCGACCTACTTTCCTAGGCTGCACAGAACCACACCACTGCAAAGTCTCAACCTGCACCCTGGCGCCTCTGCTGCTCCTTCTGCACCCTCATCTGGAACTCCGTCGGGAACTTCAACCTGCATCGCTTGCTGCTGCAAAGCCACCTAATTACACTGCTCTGCAACCAACTACAAACTGCAAACTTCCTGCACTCAACACTTCTGCTGCAAACACACCTCTGCATATGCACTCCTACCTGCAAACGACCGGCCTACAGCTCTGCAAACAAACATGCGAAACTGCACTGCTGCCAACCTGCACAGTCTCACGGGCTAAGGGTCTCTGCACCTCTCCGAGTGCAGCTGCAAGTGGAACTTCTGCATGGGCAGGCACCTACAGGACATGCGACTGCACTCTGAAATCACAAGCTGCACTGCTGCCTACTTAGCTGCAAAACTCCACAACTTCTCGGGCACTGCATCTACCACTGCAATTTTTCAAAAACTCCTGCATGCGACCAGTCTGCATGGTACCAAAAAATCTCAAATCGCTGCACTCGGCGGCTCTTCACAGCATGCTCTGCACCTTTAGCACAGCTGCACGAAGCTGCTCACTGCTGCCTGCACTGGAGCCTGCATTGCAGAGTGTCTGGACCTCCTGCACTCGGTCCTCTATCTGCATTAGCAGGGGCTTCAAGCCGAAAACCTGCATGCCATCACCCACTGCAAGCTGCTGCCACTCTGCAATCCTGGTCTGCGGGCATGCTGCAGGGTGCGTCTGGATCCGGCCTGCAATCACTTTTGCACAGATGCTGCAGCCATTCTTCAGGCTTTCATC